GTTTAAAAATAAAATTAGAAAATAATAACTAAAACAATTTAAATACACAGTTAAAAAAAACTTATAAGCAAGCACACAAAAAAGTACAAACATTTTAAAGAGCTCATAAAATAAGAAAGGAAAAAACAAGCAGTACACAATCAGTACATACTTGAGAACAATTAGTTTAAAAAAGAAAATTATTAAATAATAAAAAAACAATTTAATTACACATTTAAAAAAAAACAAAAAGCAAAAAATTTATAAGGAAGCACACAAGTGTTGAAGTATAAAAGTTTTAAAGAGCACATTCTCTCTTCTATATGTTGTATAGACGTATAAATACAGATAACAATAAAATGGCCAATCTTAGAGAAATCAACTCTAATTCCAACTCTAATTGTATACTATTGATGTAGTGTGAGTTCTTATATTTTTATTGGTGGATGTAATATCTTATTATTAATTGACGTAATAATATTTTAAACACCTATTAATATAAAAATGACAACTCAGATATTATATTAATTGATATATAAAAATTGAGATTAGAATTGATGCCCTTAATATTATTTAGCCATAGATTTATAAATAAGAAAGGAAAAAATGAACCAAGAGTTGTTTGAATAGGAGTAACTCCAATCATGTCAGCTATTTCATATTTTTAGCTAAAATCGCTAAAGATAATGTTTTTTTTTTTTCACTTTTCTCAACTTAACCATTAACTAAATAGTTAGCTATTTTAAAAAAACTTACTTCATACTAACTAAATTTGATTAGCATAAAATGGCTAACTATTATATTTTTTACATTATTTTATTCCTCAAGCGTATTAATAAATGCACTCTCAACGGTTTTTTTTTTCATCTTCAAAATTGCACCAATTAATCAACTTTACCTAACGGTCATTTTTATGGCCATTGATAAATAGATGCGTTCAAGTATTTTGTATTTCTCATTTTTGTCTTCTTCCGAAAGCATTATCCATCTGTCTCTCTGTTTTTATTGTTATTTTATATGTTTATGGATTATGAAAAAGATTCATATTATACTAATCTTATCCGTGAAGATGTAGAAATCAACGATCAATTATTGGCAGATCAAAATCCTGGCCAATCTTCTCAAACCGATTCCACAACCAAGAAACCTTAAGGGCCCGTTTGTTTCCATTTTCATTTTCGTTTTTCACGTTTTTCGAGAAAAAAAATGAAAACGGGAAATGAAAATGTGTTTGGGAAAAATCTGAAACAAAACCAAAAACAAAAACGTTTTTGTCTTTTCTGAAAAAGTGAAAACGAAAAAAACTTGTTTTCATTTTCACGTTTTCGGTTCTGAAAACGGATCTTTTTTTTTTCTTCTCTCTCTTCTCCACCCCGCCCGCCCGCCCCCCTC